TGCTTCTGAAGCCAGGAGTTAGAATCCCTGAGTTTATCATTTTCTTTCATCACTTTGTCCACTGAACTTAGGAGCAACTAACCAGCTTCATTATGTCCCTTGGTTCTCCACATATGGTTGAAGGTATTATGTGTAGAGTCACTAACTCCTTGGTATTCACTAGCAGTGAATAGGAGTGTCAAATGCATTTATTTTGCATAACTTTCCAAACAGTTCATGCCAAGGACTATCAGTGTTCTCCATACTATTAGAAGTAAAGTCCTTATGTTTTTGGGTGTAATCATATTAAGTAGCCAACTCCAGAAACCCCAAAACCAATTAAAGAACTCCATACTTAATATTCCATTCCTCTAGAACCACTCCTAATACCAAAATCTGTATTAGGTGATACACACCCCCCCACACACACACACACAAGTGGAGATGCAAGTACTGCCATCACAAATCTATACATGTGTATGTATGTATATATATGTATTTAAACATTAGTATTTATTAAATATATATACTTAATTAAATACATATGTATTTATAAATATATATTAAATATATATGTATCTAAATATTAGCATTTATATATGTATTTAAATATTCATATTCATTTAAATATTAGTATTAGGTGATATATTTGTGTGTGTATATGTATTTAAATTTTGTATGCCAATTGTACACACACATACATATATATGTGTGTGTGTATATATATATATCTCCTATTTATTCTGTCCGCATATATACATATATCCTATTGGTTCTATCCCTTTATTTATATATGTGTGTGTGTGTGTGTGTGTGTGTGTGTGTGTGTATACACATATATTAAATGGGAGTTTACTAAGTATTAACTCACACTATCACAAGGTCTGACAATAGGCCATCTGCAAGCTGAGGAGCAAAAAAAGCCAGTTCGAGTCCCAAAATTGAAGAACTTGGAGTCCAATGTTCAAGGGCAGGAAGCATCCAGCACTGGAGCAAGATGTAAGCTGGAAGGCTGGGCCAGTCTAGTCTTTGTATATGTTTTTCTGCCTGCTTTATATTCTAGCTGCACTGGCAGCTGATGTATGGTGCCTACCCAGATTAAGGGTGGATCTGCCTTTCCCAGCCCACTGACTCAAATGTTAATCTCCTTTGTCAACACCCTCATAGATACACCGAGAACCAATACTTTGTATCCTTCAATCCAATCAATACAATACATTTTGTATTCACCATCACAGGCCCCTTTGGGCTGTATGCAACCTATACAACTATACACAGCTGCCATTGATATTGCACCTGTTTTTCTGGAACCACATATAGCTTACTCGTTGTTTTTCCTGTATTCTTTCCTGTTTGCCCATTGATAGAAACAAGCACATATCTATGCTTTACAAAAGACGTATACTTAAAATGAAAAAAGTAACCATGAATATTTGCTGTTTCATACATAAAGGCAACAAATCTTAAATATCCTATGGCATTTTCTTTTCATTATAACTACCTTTTTTTTTTTTTTTTTTAAGAGAAAGAATCTTATTCCACTGACCAGGCTGGAGTACACTGGTGCCATCACAGCTCACTGCAGTGTCAAATTCTTGAGCTGAAGCAATCCTCCCACCTCAGCCTTCTGAGTAGCTAGGACTACAGGTGCATGCCATCATGCACAGCTGATTTTTTAAAAATTCTGGAGACAGAGTCTTCCTGTGTTGCCCAGGCTGGTCTCAAACATTTGGCCTCAAGCAATCACCCTGCTTTGGCCTCTCAAAGTACTGGAATTACAGGCATGAGACACTGCACCCAGCCCACAACTACCTTTTTTAAGAGTATCGTCATGTACTTATAGCATATTACAGACTAAAGTAGTTTTAATTATAACGTATGTGGTCAAAAAGTTACAATTTGATAGTGAAAACCCCTTTAAGGTGACTTTTCATCCTTTTAACACTGCTCTGACATTCTTGGAAGCATTTTTGATTGTAACAAAAGCCTTTATTAATATCACTAACTTTTTTCTGCCCCAAAATGTGTATCAGCTGCCCTCCTTATCAGTCCTTTGAGTGGGAATCAAATCTGGGCACGGAAATGCTTTTGAAAATTGAAGGCAGGCAATAGTAGTGCTCTACTTCTACTACTGCTCCTGTTGTTGGATGTATTAGTTCATTCTCACACTGCTATAAAGAACTACCTGAGATTGGGTAATTTATAAACAAAAGAGGTTCTGTTGATTCACAGTTCCACAGGCTGTAGAGGAGGCATGGCTGGGGAGGCCTCAGGAAATGTACAATTATGGCATAAGTTGAAGGGGAAGCCAGCACATATTCAGATGCCAGCAGGAGAGAGAGAGAGAGAGCAAAAGGGGACGTGCTACACACCTTCAAAAAACTAGGTTTTGTGAGAACTCAATATGAGAACAGCAAGGGAGAAATTCATCCCCATGATACAATCACTTCCCACCATGTCCTCCCTCCAACATTGGGGATTACAATTCAACATGAAATATGGGTGGGGACAAACCCAAACCATATCATTGTGTGTGTGTGTGTGTGTGTGTGTGTGTGTGTGTGTGTGTGTGTGTTTAAGACAGAGAAAGAGCAAACATATGCATGCCCACGCTGAAAAGGTATTTCTAAGGTCATTATGAGTTCCCACCACTTTTTCTGATTTAACTTATTATGTTGTTTTACAATTCTTTCCTTATAACATGTGGTCTCATCAATCACTGACATTTTTGCCTGTATCAACACTTGGGATAGTTTGGTACCTGGGAAACAGGCTACTCACAAATATGAGTTTGAGTATTTTTCCAGAGTACATGCAAAATGTCCCCATCTCCTTTTTTGGAGCACACTTAAGAGACAAGCAAGGTTGGATTCTAACATGTTTGAGACTAACGGAGGCCATCTTTTGATGGTTATCATCTTACTCTAAAACTCAAATCGTTTTATGAGTTTTGCTTTGAGTATTATGAGTTTATGAGTTTTGCATATACACTGCGTTGAATGTGTACCTCGTTGGTATGGGCTAGCCTATTCTCCATATCTCTGCTTCTGGGTAACATGTATTTTAAGCTCAAGTAATATCTTCTGTGGGAACCCTTCTGATTCCCATTATCTGGGTTAAGTTGTTCCTCTCTATGCTATTCTGTTATAGTGTCAAATACTCATCACACACTATTTTAACTTTCTCTTTACTTCTCTGTCTTTCCCCATTAGTCTGTGATATCCTCTTGGGTTGTGTCTTACTCATCTGACAGACCTTTTAGATACTTCTTGGAACATGGTGGATGCTCGATACATAAACACTGAATGTTTCTAAATGAGGTCCAAAGAAACAATACATAGTGATAACCTGGTTTTACTAGCCAATATCTAAGGGTTGGAGAATGTTCCCAGGTGAAGATGGAAGAGAAATTCTGTAACACTAGAGCCCCCACTTAAGGAATGAAAGACTGCTAAGCACTAAAATGCTGTCGGGCTCTCTGTTATTGGCATAATAGGCTAAATATTTCAGGTTAATCTCCTGCTTTTCCAAGGTCAGTACCCACTAGGGAAGAGATCCATTAATTCCCTATGGGGAAATGGAAGTAGCATTTTCATTAAGGAAGGCGTTCTGTAGTCTTAAAAAGATGAGTAGAGGTTAGTTAAGTCAAGGCATTAGTAGGCCATTTTAAGCAAATTTTTTTGAGCAAAGGAACATAAGCCAAACAAGGGTGTGTGGTGAAGATCCTAGCATTTCAGTATTTATGGAATGTAAAGTATGAAGCAAGAAAGCTGGGGTGTTAACTTAGCCTGGAAAGGTAAGCAGAGATGAGATTTGAAAGACCTTTTATGTTCCATTAAGTTATAAGATTTTATATTGTAATACCAAAATGGAGAAGATTGGCATGGTGGGTAAAAGCACATGTTTTACAGTCAGGCTGCCTATGTTTGAAAGCTCTGGCCTTTGCTAGCTCTATGACTTAGGCTTTTTTGTGTCTTATGTTTTTTACTCTGTAATGGAAGAATAATAAGAGTACCTATTTCATAGGATTATTTTGAGGATTTATGAGTTAAATAGAGAGTTTACAGCATTCAATAAGAATTAACAGTTGATATAATTGTTGTGTTACATTTTATATTTATGCTGTACAAAGATCACTCAGGCCACCTGTATGAAAGATTATTTAGAGTAGAAGAGAACCAGAGAGTGTGGAAACCATATGGCGATGAAAGTGCCTCTCCAATGGCTGCTTTTGACATTTGCTGGATATGTTTGCAACATAGTCCTATATAGTGGTTTTAATTGAATCACATACTTTACACATGGATTTTGTGCAAACTTGATTAAAGGAAACATTGCCAGTTTGTTTTTCTTACAAATGTCCTGGTCATGAACTTACTGGAAATACTAGCTCTGTGGCTTTTGGGACCTTACATATCATGGCTACATTTTGGTCCTACTGTTCAGAGTATAGTTCAGAATTTATTTCCTGAGAAGGTGACCTGGAGAGAGAAAAGCCAGCTGTTTTCCAGAAAAGGATTGAAAATAGCAGCAAGGTTAGAGTCTAGCATCAGTATGAGAATAATAGAGGCCCTGTTCTGGTTTATAGTTACCATCTTACTATAAAACTCAGGTTGCACATATTGCTGCCTGTTGTATATCGTATGTTGAGTATGATCAAGAGGCAATGGGTATAGTGAAAAAGAAGATCTGGGCTGTGGATCTAGCTCCCCTACTTACTTGTGTATGATGATCTCAGTTGCCATATCTGTGACATGAGGTGAATAATACTATTTTATCTTGCAGGGCTTCCATGAAAATCAGTTGAGATCATCTATGTAAAAGCACTTAACAGAAATCCAAAGGCATTTGAAGACTGAAATGATTTTTTAAACCATTAAGGAAGACTCAGAAATATAATGTGATCTATACATATGTTTGTCTCTTCATTAAATGGACTTATGAAGAGTTGAAATATATGCCAGATAATCACCTGTTATGCAAGTCACCGTAGTTTGCACCTAACTGAAAGTTTATGGGTTCTCTCGAGGTGACTTTCTGCTTCCAATCACAGCTTAAGAATTCAACCTAAATTTTTTTTTTCTGGTGAAAAGCTCTTTTTCATTACTTTCTTGTATTGAGCCTTATTCCAGAAGGCTGAGGTTTCTCCAAGTCTGACCACTAGTCAGTGAGGCATTGGTGCCTCTTTCTTCAGTACTTCTAGGAGGCCAACTAATAAGCTCTCTAGATGAGATATACTACCTAAAAAGTGGTGCCCAAACAACAACTTTAAGTGCCTGCTAGAACTCTGTTCTTTCAGAAGTTTCCTTCCACCTATCTCTCCACTAAAGATGGAGTTAAAACTAAAAGATCGTGAATTTTGGTACAATCTCCAAGGCCAGGTACCAGGGCTGCTGGACTGGGACATGGAGAATGAGTTATTTTTGTCTTGTACCACAGACCAGTGCTCCTTACCTGAGCAGATCCTTAGCAAATACAGAATCCGAGTAATGAAGCCCCCAGAGATGCCTCAGAAGAGGAGACCCAGTCCTGATAAAGATGGTCCTTACTGTGAACCCAATCTGTGGATATGGGTGAACCCCAACATCCTGTGCCCCCTTGGTGGCCAGAAGGCCCCAAAGCCCAGTGGAAAAAAGGATCTGACAAGCATTTCTCCTTTCCCTCAGCCCTCACTAACAGATGAAGAGTCTAACTGCTCAGAGGTCACAGTGGTAGAGTCCCTGTCATCTTCCTCCAGTGAGCAGTCTCCTATACAGAAGCAAGATATCTATTCCCCTAATGACTTTGTGCTCACAGAAGAGGAGGCTGAGAAACAAGAGGACAACTCCTTCCAGTCCCCTGAAAGAGAGTGCTTCCAGAGCCAGAACCTATGGCAAATCAACAGCCAAGAGAAATCCTGGCAACGGATCCCTCTCAATTGTAGCCACCTTATTGCCCTAGCATTAAGAAAGAGCCCCCACTGTGGCCTCAGTGTGCAGGAGATCTACAGTTTCACCCGACACCATTTTCCCTTTTTCTGGACAGCTCCAGATGGCTGGAAGAGCACCATCCATTATAACCTCTGCTTCCTGAGCAGCTTTGAGAAGGTACCAGACAACCTTCAGGATGAAGATAATGCAAGACCTTGCTGTTGCCGTTGGAGGCTCACTAAGGAAGGGCACTGCCGCTTTTGGGAGGAAACTCGTGCCTTAGCCGCTGCTCAAAGGGAGAGCATCCAAGAGTGCATGAGTCAGCCAGAGTTGTTTACCTCTCTCTTTGATCTTTGAACTACCACTGCTCCCTTTTTGGAACACTGCCTTTCTTACTGTGCCTACTTATTTACTGACTGACATTCATTAATCTCTAAACTTACACTGCCTGATTTGTGCCAAGCCTATCTTTAGCTACTGTTACAATAATGATGTTAAGTAAAGTTATATGCGGGTACAGGGAAGGCAGAGCTTAAATCCAGGTGGAGAGTCATGGAAAGTCACACGAGAAGAGTGGCTGTTGTTCTGCATTTTCAGCAGAGGAAGGAAATCCTAGAAACAATGGCATGGAAGCTAAGGAGAGAAGGGTGTGTTTTGTGAAAAAGGAATTCTGTTTATAGAGAGTATTTTGACACATGAAAGTGAACAGTGGAATATAAAGCTAAAACGAAGCCTGGAGCCAAGCCATGAGAACCTTGAGTGCCATGTGAAGAGAATCTGGCTTGTGGTGGAGATTCAAGTTTCCCCCTCTACCATTCAACAGCTACATCTCCTTTTTAAGTAACCCATTTTGTCCTTCAGAACCTCACTTTTCTATTTCTGGTCCTGGACATCTAAGCCTTGTTTCTTTGTCATCCAATTCCAATATTGACAAATAATTCTAAACAGCTACTTTTAGTTTGGATGTTGAAAGTCCTTTGAAGTATTCCTGTATTAACCTCAAGCCTTTTGATGATAAAGCTTTGTTTTCCATTCTTTTTTGTACTCAATCGTTTATTAAGGATACGCTAATGTCTCAAGGTCCATCTTAGATGTTGAAGATAAAAAGCTGACAGATACTAGTGGGAGACCTATTTATAATGACATGATGAAACAAATGTGTGAAGTTGACATGGAAATGGGGAGACAGTCTTCCTGGAAAAGACATGAAAGGCATTGAAAAGAATACTTTCTGAGCTAGTTTTGAAGAATAAATAGAAATTTGTTGGGCAGGTAAATTGAAGAAAAGGCATTACAGAGGCAACAGTGTGAACAAAGTGAATGAAGTCGGGGAATGGGCTGAAGTTCAGTGTGGCTTAACTACATGAGGACCACGAGTGACTGGGAGAAAAGCATTAGGTGTTTGGACTTGATCTTGTGGGCTTTTGGGAGCCAAGAGACATCAGCGGTGTTTCGCTAAAAAACAATAAAAGAAACCAACAGCGACAACAAACACTTCAGTATTTGTTTTTCTAATTTCAAAATTACCTTTAACATCTTTTTTATGCAAATAAACTCTTTTGATTCTCAGATTTAAGCATAACTTTTTGCCTTCAATATTATTAACAAATATCCAGGAGAAAATAGATTTTTAGGTATAAATTTAGTTGTAAAACCTTCATAATGGGGGTACAAAAATACCTGTAAGAAACAAAAGCAATTAATTCAATATAATTATAACTCTTTTGAAAGTTTACATTTTGTAATGATCTAGTCCATACAAAATTGTATATTTAGTTGAATCACAAAACAGCATATCTGAATTGTAAATTCTACTTCTGTATCATAAGGCAAAGACCAAATTAACAGAGTACCATGGAACTAATAAAATATTCTGCCTATAAGTGGTCATCATTTACTTCTCATTTTTCTCCCAGATTAACACTCACTAGTAAAAGAGATGGATATGAAATTAACAAGACTATTTTTTAAATCACAAACTACATTTCTAATAGGCCTACTCTGTAAATTTTTCAAACAAGACAAAATTTCATTTTTAGAACTAGACCTGGGTTTTTCTGCTGCAACCTGGCACCTTTGAGCTTTGAACTCTATTCAGTATTTTCTGATCCTTATTTTTGCTCTCTGATTGCATGAAAAAAGCAGTGGCTGGACATGGTGTTTCTTCAGTCATCTCGGGTGATCAAGATATTCCTTCGGAGAAACTTTTTTTTTCTTAAATTACAAATTACTGCAATTGAGTGCAAAATAAAGGAAGCTGGATTTGCTTTATTCAGCTTCCAATTTCTGGGAGGATTAATAATCCTAAGTATTCCAGATAACAAAAGAAAGTAAGACTGTGTTTATAGATATTGTTCTGCCATATTCTTTCTCAATGATAGCTATTTTATTGTTGCTCTTCCTGTTAAGTGTGATGTACACATCAGGTGTTAAAAAGTACAGTACATTCTATAACTGAGAACCACTTTCTGTAACTGAACATGCAAAGAAATGACACTGAACATCTGCATCTGGCAGTATGTTTTGGAAAAATGACTAAAAATGTGTTTAAATAGATCAACACTATTAAATCACATCTAATATTTGATACTACATAATTCAATACAGCTATGCAATACAATTACACAAAATGTGTTAACATCAAAGAATACAACCAAAATTAAGATACCATACACAGCTCCCGGTGACCTTTCCTCTGTCGGCCCGAAGCTTCCTCAAAAAAAAAAAAAGGAAGAAGAAGAAAAAAAAGATAGCATACAAAACCTATATAACTTCTTTTTATGGGAAAATACTTTTGAAGTATGCATATAACTGCCCATTCTTTTAAAGAAAATATACTGCAAGCAAAGTTATCAACCTCCAGGAAAATCACACATAGTATTATTGAGCATATCCCCAAAAAGTGTACAATATGCACATTTTGAAAATACAAAATTAAAAAAATTGTAGGCAACAGGAGAGCTTCATATTTATAAGAATGTGAAAAGAAGTCCCATTTTTAACATGGTTGCCTAAAGAACTGTCTTTTGATGTGAAGTTCATGAATTGCCCTCCTGTTGGGATCATACTTTGCAAAGCAAACACTGCGTTTTTTAAATGAGGTTACAGAGCAAGATAGAGAATCTTAGCAATGTCATCTTATTAAAGGTTTACAAAAAAATTAGTACTTTATCAAAGCATGTTCCTTAGGTGTATAGGATTCATTTATAAAATTCTAAAAATAATATACAAAAGAAAGCCATATTTATTCCCAATCACACTCCTGGAAGATGCTTCCCACTGTTGAGAAGGGTCTTTTCTCACTTCACTGGTTGTTTTTGGCCTTAGCATGTGTTAAAATGTAAGATTTCAGGTTAGTTGACTGAGCAAACTTCTTACTACAACCAACGAAGGGACACACATGAGGCTTGTCTCTGGTATGGATTCACACATGTGTGCCCAAACTGAAGTCCAGGGAAAAGCATTTCCCGGAAAGAGGGGCCTTGATGGCCGAGCAGAACCAGCTTCGATCTGCAGCTCCCAGAGAGACCAACACAGAAGGTGGCTGATTTCTACATTTCCATCTGAGGTATCTCATAGGGACTGGTTAGGCAGTGAGTCCAAACCATGGAGGGCAAGTAGAAGCAGGGTGGGGCATTGCTTCACCTGGAAGGACAGGAGCCCAGGACCACCCTTCCCCAGCCAAGCGAAGCTGTGAGGGACTGTGCTACCCACCCAGGTAACTCTGCTTTTCCCATGGTTCTTGCAATCTGCAGATCAGGAGATTCTCTCATGTCCCTACACCACCAGGGCCCTGGGTTTCAAGCACAAAATTGGGCATCTGTTTGGGTGGCTATATGGGCAGAGCTAGCTGAAGTTTTTTCATACCCCAGCAGTCCCTGGAACCCCAGCAGGACAGAACTGTTCACTCCTTTGGAAAAGGGGCTAAAGCCAGGTAGCCAAGTGTTCTCGCTCAGAGGGTCCCACTCCCATAGTGCCCAGCAAGCTAAGAACCACTGGCTTGAACTTCTTACTGCCAGCCCAGCAGCCTGAAGTTGACCTGGGAAAATAGAGCTTGGTGGAGAGAGGGGCATCCACCATTATTGAGCTTTTAGGAGGTAGTTTTCCACTGACAGTGCTAAGGAGGCTGGGAGTTCTGAACTGGACAGAGTCACCACAGCCTGGCAAAGTGGCTGTGGCCAGACTGCTTCTCTAGATTCCTCCAAACTGGGAAGGGCATCTCTGAAGGAAAGGTAACAGCCACAGTAAGGGGCTTACAGAACAAACCCCCATCTCCCTGGGACAGAGCACATGGGGGGAGGGGCGGTTGTGAGTGCAGCTTCAGTGAGTTTTATCCTCCCACCAGCCGGCTCTGAAAAGAGCAGCTGATCCTGACAAGAGGGACTCCCCCAGCACAGTGCACCAACTCTGCTAAGTGACAGACTTTCTCCTCAAGTGGGTCCCCGACTCCTGTGCCTTCTGACTGAAAGCAGTAGGGATCCACAGATACCTTACACAGAAGAGCTTCCACTGGCATGATGCCAGTGCCCCTCTGGGACAGAGCTTCCAAAGGAAGGAGCAGGGAGCAATATTTGTTGTTCTGCAGTCTCCACTGGTGATACCCAGGTGAACAACATCTAGAGAGGACCTCTAGCAAACTTCAGCAGACCTGCAGTCCCTGACTGTTAGAAGAAAAACTAACAAACAACATCAGCATCAACATAAAGGATCACACACAAAAACCACATCCAAAGGTCATCAGCCTCAGAGATCAAAGGTAGATAAATCCATGAAGATGAGGAGAAAACAGCACAAAAAAGCTGAAAATTCCAAAAACCAGAATGCTTCTTCTCCTCCAAATGATTGCAACTCCTCTCCAGCAATGGCACAAAACTGGATGGAGAATGAATTTGATGAATTGACAGAAGTAAATTTTAGAAGATGGGTAATAACAAACTCCTCTGAGCTAAAGAAGCATGTTCTAATTCAATGCAAGGAAGCTAAGAACCTGGATAAAAGATTGCAGGAACTGCTAACTAGAATAACCATTTTAGAGAGAACCGTAAATGACCTGATGGAGCTGAAAAACACAGCATGAGAACTTTGTGAAGCATACACAAGTATCAATAGCCGAATCAATCCATCAGAAGAAAGGATATCAGAGATTGAAGATCAACTTACTGAAATAAGGCATGAAGACACGCTTAGACGAAAAAGAATGAAAAGGAATGAGCAAGGCCTCTAGGAAATAGAGGACTATGTGAAAAGACCAAACCTATGGTCGATTGGTGTACGTGAAACTGACAGAGAATGAAACCAAGTTAGAAAACACACTTCAGGATATTATCCAGGAGAACTTCCCCAACCTAGCAACACAGGCCAACATTCAAATTCAGGAAATACAGAGAATACCACTAAGATACTCCATGAAAAGATCAGCCCCAAGACATATAACTGTCAGATTCTCCAAGGTTGAAATGAAGGAAAAAATGTTAAGGGCAGCAGAGAGAAAGGTCACATTACCCACAAAGGGAAGCCCATCAGAGGAAAAGTGGACCTCTCTGCAGAACCCCTACAAGTCAGAAGAGAGTGGGGGCTAATATTCAACATTCCTAAAGAAAAGAAATTTCAACCCAGAATTTTATAGCTAACCAAACTTAGCTTCATAAGCAAAGGAGAAATAAAATCCTTAACAGACAAGGAAATGCTGAGGAATTCTCCACCAGGCCTACCTCACAAGAGCTCCTGAAGTAAGCATTAAATATGGAAAAGAAAAATCGGTACCAGCCACTTCAAAAACATAGCAAATTGTAAAGACTCCCCCACCATCAACACTATGAGGAAACTGCTTCAAGTGGTGTGCAAAATAACCAGCAAGTATCATGATGACAGGATCAAATTCACACATTACAATATTAGCCCAAAATATAAATAGGCTAAATGTCCCAATTAAAAGACACAGACTGGCAAATTGGATAAACAGACAAGACCCATTGATGTGCTGCATTCAGGAGACACATCTCAGTACAAAGACACACATAGCCTCAAAATAAAG